CCCCCTTCGCTTAACCGCAAACAGGGCCCCAATCTAAGTACTCTTTTCGTTTAACGGAAAGCTATTTAAAACCACCACTGGAGGGCGCGCCGCTCGCGGTCCCCGGCAGAGAACTTCGAGCTTTGGGTCCAGGAAAATGAGCTATCCCCAGAGACGGTAGACATCTTAAAGGACGCGGGTTTTGTATCTCTGAAGAGCTGCAAAAAGCTCTCCGAATCACTTATTCAGAAACATTTCAGACGATCCCTTTCCTTGGCCCAGCTGCTACTCCTGCAGGATGCAGTGGAGTCACTGCAGCCTCCGCAGCCACGGATCAACCAGGGTCCGGGTGCGGGGGAGGGTGATTCAACAGGAGCCACAGAAAGTGAGGGAAATCAGCCATCTACATCTAGGGAAGTTCTGAGGGAGAGGAAACAAACGGAGCCAGACCCTATTGACTCCGAACTAGATTATGCCAAGCTGTGCCAGCTACTAGGAGTTGAGAAACAGGACAGCAAAACACCTACAACAGGTGAGCCACTAGGTAAAATTTTTGACCCCTTTTCGTTCTCAATCCCGCAAAAGCAAACTGCAAAGCTCCGTGAGATCCGCGACTACGTGATGTTTTCACAGGCCTACGAAAAAGGCAAGATAGAGAGCGACGTACCACTACGAGTAGGCAACATAGAACTATCTCTCACGGAACGGAAAATCCCACTGGAGAAAATCACCCCCCTGCAATTCACCGAGGCATCAATGAAGATTCTGAAGGAAATGGTGGAGCAAGACGGCGCGGACATGAAAACAGCCATGCAATATGTCGGCTACATCACGAAGGTAGCGTGTGTGGGTCAATCGTTTACGTGGTCGTCGGTATTGCGGTACGATGCGGAGTACAGGAGGGCACAAAACACCATGGGTTTTCCCTGGGGAAGCGACAGCCCTTTCCTTATGCAACTCTTACTTAAGCCAGTCCAGGATCGCTCATCGCCTCCTTCCCTGGGACACAGGNTTCCCTGGGACACAGGCGAAAGCCGAACAGGACAGACCCATCGTCAGGACGCCCCATATGTCTCAAGTACAATGGTCGACAAGGGTGCTCTCTCCAAAACTGCCGTTTTTGCGCACATTTGTTTGACATGCCAAAGCTCGTCACACGGGGAATTCACACATAGTCAGCAAGAAAGCAGAAACACAACCCACTGACCATTACAAAGCGCGAGGGATTCTCCGCTCCGCGAAAACCTTCGAGCGTGGGGAGAGGAACTAAGCGGAGACGTTGACAATGTTTTTATTTTAAGGGGAATCTCTGAGGGCTTTCGCATTGTGGATGACATTGATTTAGATAGCATACCAAGAGTCGAAACTATTAACAGTAAATCTGCCACCTGCGGAGGTGCAAAAATCATGGTGGAAAGGCAGATTCTAGAAGAGATAAGAGAAGGTCGCTACATATATCCCAAGGCAGACCCCTTAATTATCAGCGCGTTATCAGCAGTGCCTAAGTCCGACGACAAGATACGCCTAATTCACGATTACAGTCGTCCTGAAGGTAAGGCTGTCAATGATTATGCTACTAAGAACACTTTTAAGTGTGAGACTTTACAGACGGCCCTCAATCTGATCAAACCCGGTCATTACCTAGCGAAAGTGGACCTCGAGGCAGCCTATCGCTCCGTTCCCTTGCACCCGTCCCAGTTCGGCTCACAGGGCTAAAATGGAAATTCAGCGACGATAGGGAGCCACGTGTTCTAGTGGATACAAGACTGCCATTCGGTGCTACCAAATCTCCTGAAATTTTTCATCGGATTTCACAAAGCGTCAAACGAATGATGGAGAGAAGAGGTTTTAATGTGGTAGTATATCTCGACGATTTTCTAGTGATAGGAGAGACCTTTAATGAGTGTCGGGACGCTTATAACGCCTTGATTAATCTCCTGAGGCGGCTCGGCTTTAGTGTGAATTGGAAGAAAGTGTGCGACCCTACGACAAGGCTTACGTTCCTGGGCACCGTCATAGACACTGTCGCGGGTACGCTATCCCTGGAAAAGCAGAAGATGTCGGCTCTGATTACATGCTTAAAACAATACATGGCCCGGAAGCGTGCGTCGCGGCGCCAGCTTGAATCTCTCGCAGGGAAACTCGTGTGGGCTTCAAACGTTATCCCTTGGGGCAAAACTCATGTGCGCCCCATTTTCAACGCGATTTCAACTCTTAAAAAGGCGGCACACAAGTGCAAACTCGATTCTCTTCGCCGGGACTTCCTTTGGTGGAATAAATGGCTTATTGCAGGAAACAACACCAGACTAATCTGGGATTTCCGTCCAGAATGTCGTGTATTCACAGTCTCCAGTGTTTTTGCAGGTGGAGCCTTCCACAATGGAGACTGGTATTACACGAACTGGGAGCAGGATGCCCCCCGCCTTGGCGCCAGCCATATCAACGTAAAGGAACTTGCAGCCATTGTCCTTGCAGCTTACAGATGGGGACACCTGTGGTCTTCATGCCGGGTCATTGTCCACACGGATAGCGAGGTCGCCATGCACATCTTAAACAAAGGGGCGTCACCCAATCACATGTGTAATGACCTCCTTAAGGTCTTATCGTTTTTATCCCTAAAGCATTGTTTTTCAATTCAGGCGGCTCATATCGCAGGAAAAGACAATGGGATGGCCGACGCCGTATCAAGAATACACGACCTGAACTCTTGTGCGCGCTTCATTAACTTAGTGTCCGTTTTTTATTTGTACCACGATACCAAACCTCCTCTTTACAATCTTAGGAATCACATGACTGACTTATCTTTATTTTCTCTCTCTTCTTCACTCAGATCACGTGCGGCTGCGCCAGCAACTAGATGAGGAGGTAGTCTTTTGGAGATCCCAGCTATTCGCACCGTCCACTAAGAGCACTTACAAATCCCACCTTCGCGCCTACGCCAAATTCTGCGCCGAGATAAAGTGTGTGCCCGTTCCTATCTCGTCCGCAAATCTCTGCAGATATGCAGCGTATCGGGCTCGCACATGCGGCGTATCTACACTTCGCCAGTACCTGAACATAGTTAGGATTATTCATTTGGAATTCGGGTTCCCAAACCCTCTCTCCTCGTGGGATGTTAAGGCTACCATCGGCGGGATAAAACGGCACAAACAGGACCCCAGCCGACAGAAATCACCAATACTCCCGTTCCACCTGCTCCAACTGCGTTCTACCCTTATTTTAAGCGACCTAGACCAGCTGCAGACGTGGGCAGCTTGCTTAACTGCGTTTTTCGGCATGCTCAGAGTCAGCAACTTCACGGCGAAATCGCAATCAGATCCGGGTCATTCTATCCTGCGGCGTGACGTGACTTTCACTAAGAGAGGGTGCACCATACGGGTGACTAAGTCAAAAACCAACCAGTTTGGCCAAAGAACTCACATCATCACCCTTCCCTTCATGCCAGGGAACGCACTATGTCCTACTACAGCACTGACAGCTTTTTTCAAACTGTCGCTCGAGACGCCAGAATCAGCGCCCCTCTTCGCTACCCTAAAGGACGATACTACGGTCTACCTCACGTCTGCGAGCTTCCGCCATAGACTGACAAAATCCCTGGGAACAATAGGCCTTTCACCTACTGTCTATAATACCCACAGTTTGCGGAGAGGGGGGGCTACCTGGCTGCTGTCCGTGGGTACCCCCCTAGGGATGGTTAAATCAATGGGTGACTGGTCAAGTGACGCTGTTTTTGAATATATTAAGCCCACCCCTGATATGAAATATGACACTATGCACAAGGCCATCAAACAAACTTAGGCCGTCCCAAGTAACTACCCGTAATAAACTGTTTCAGGCTTTAGTTTACAACTACTTTGGGTTGGGGTATAGTCGTTTCATCATCAGTAGGTTTTTATATACAGTTATTTTCCATTGTGTCAACCTTTTTTCTTTAAACGAATTGTTATACTATATATATTTCAATCGTATGTAGTTAGTCGTTTATTTATTTTCTTAAATAAACTCTGCAAGCCCGAAAGTGTGTTGGTTTTAAGTACTCTTTTCGTTTAACGGAAAGCTATTTAAAACCACCACTGGAGGGCGCGCCGCGCGCGGTCCCCGTCGTGGGAGCCTATCAAATTTAAGGCCGTTAGCCGAAAGCAGCCACGTGACTCTTTTAAAATCGGCAATTGGAGCGTTGGCAGCGAGCAAGGAAGAAGCGTGTAGGGAGCAGGCGCTCTCCCTCTTCCTCCGGTGCTTCATAGTTATTGCGTTTTTATTTCCCACCCACCCACCCTCAAGGGGGTGTACGTAAAATTCCAGACTTGCAACTCAGCACGGGGGGTATAGTCGTTTCATCATCAGTAGGTTTTTATATACAGTTATTTTCCATTGTGTCAACCTTTTTTCTTTAAACGAATTGTTATACTATATATATTTCAATCGTATGTAGTTAGTCGTTTATTTATTTTCTTAAATAAAATCTGCAAGCCCGAAAGTGTGTTGGTTTTAACCAGAGTTCACGATAGCATCTTGTTACCAAGGCGTTGGATTCTGAATGGTGAATTTCACGAGATCAAGCTCATATTTCTGGTGAATAGAAACGACATGTATAGATCTCATTTTCACGCCTCAAATTTAAAATAGCATTATTATAATAAAAGTGTTGAAAATAGATCCGTCCAGTTTAAATAAATATACACACCGCGAGTTTAAATAAATATACTTTTGAAATGCTAGTTTTCCTCCTGCTCAATCACGCGCGTGCGATACCATGAGACAGTTATTTAAACTCAACTGTATATACATGTACCACTTGAAAATTTATGCGGTTTTTACTATTTACGAAAGAATATAACTGATTGTTCAAAGGCTAGGGGGTCGAGAGAGGGACATATCTATACACGCTTTGTCACGTTCGTTAAGCGGGTTTGAGAGGTTCGTTGCTGGACTACTGAAAAGTTAAACGGAGATTGTACTCGTATATCATACGGCATAGGAACGTACACAAATATAGAGGACCACAACTTCAGGATATAGTTTGGTTTTATTTAATAAGTATTGATCTTAGTGTGTGTGTGTGTGTGTGTGTGTGTGTGTGTGCGTGTGTGTCCTTCCTTCTGATAAGCCAATACAAAAAAACGTACATGTATGTGAGAACCAATGTTAAAATGTAAGCTAATAACGTAAATAACTAACACAATGGAGCGTTGCTACGTCACCAACTGTTCAATATGACTAACTGCCTCAAAAACATGTTGGTGAATTTGAAACATAGGTAAAGTAGGGCCTACCATGCGAACAGAGTGATCCAACGAGTCTCTCATATGGCATGGTAGGTTGATGCTTTATATCACAGGATAGATTACTGCTTTTTT